TATATCAAAATATAGCTCTCATGAACTCCTAAAACTTTTGTATGAAACATTTTTGTGTATCTCCTTAAACAAACCAGATATTGCCTGTCACATAAAATGTGGGACACCCGGTATATAAAACAACAAAACATGACAAATACTAAACTGTACATATAAAGGTAATTAACAAATTTTTTTATGAAGAGTAACTATTAAAACTCGTCAACGATGTAGCAGTTTCTTTCAATGAGATATTTTTTCAATTGTCTTTTAAATATGCAGATGTTCATTGAGTCCTCAATAGAAACATCTAGTTTGTTATATAGTTTGGGTCCAAGGTATAGGTGACTCTTCTGATAGAGGGAGGTTCGGTGAGGATTCGCTATCAACAACCCTCTAGCTCTAGTTGCGTATGGGTGGTCTTGCTGGTCGGCGCTAAATTTTTCTTTATTCTTATAAACGTAGAGAAACATCTCATATATAGATATACAGACCAGCTCTTTAAATGAGCTTCTGCATGAGTGTCGCCATCCGAAAATAGCAAATATTCTGACAGCGCGCTTTTGTAAAATAAATACTCTTTAAGCAGAGGAGTTCACACCCCAATTCAAGATTCCATAGCGCAAGTGACAGCCAATAGTTGCATAATACATATTTAGGAGAACCTCTTTTCCACAATGATTGGACATAAATCTCAGTGCATAACAGTTCTTTCGTAGTTTATCACATAGTGAATCTATATGAGTGCCCCAATTGAGCTTATGATCTTGAATTAGACCTAGCATTTTTGTTTCTGGTTTGGATGTCTGGCCTGTAGAAATTTATGAAGCAAATTTAATTCAAAACTGCGCTATGTATTTTAGAAATAATATCCACTTTCAATAATCATGCGCAACATGACGCACATTTTATAATGTTTGTAATCGTGTTTGAAACTTGAAGCTGTTAATTTTAAATGTTTCATTTTTAGATTTATATGTAGGCATATTTCATATTTTTACAATTTTCCTTTTGACGTATTTCTTAGACAAAAATATTCTGCCACTACTATGAATGATTATAAAATACTCTGTTGAAATAAATGTATCTATCTATCTATCATTGAGAAAGAAAATGTGATTTGTTGTAGTTTGGTATTGGTTACGGATGGAAATTTATTGTCGGTTCGAATCTGAAACTTTTGTGCATGATGGAAACATTTTCATTCTTATTGTTTTTTTCTTCCGACACAATTTTCAAGCAATCCTAAAATATATTCAAGTTACACTTTCTTGTAAGATTTTCACTGGATAGTTCAAAAAGCCTCGGCACGTATTTTACTATATATTATGGGAGTGTTAATACGTGGTGTTTCGTTGCAAGAAAAAAGACGACATTTAAAATAAAAGTTGTCCAATTACTCTTTAAAGATTCATTAAAAAAAGGTGGATTCGAAAAATGACGAAAGTATATCGAACATGTTATAAAAGGAGAGGACAATATATGGAAATTGGACCATTTAGTTGGGAAAATTGTAGAACCTTCAATCGTAACATTCGACGAAGATTCATCGGATTTATCTGATGATGACACATCATAATTTTTGCTTGTACCTAATATCATTTTGAAAAAGCATGCCTTTTTATTATTGAGTAAATTTCAAAATAAAAATGTTATTATCAATCATATATAAATGAATAAATATAGTTATTAGTTTCAACAATTATTTTTTATTGAATATACAAATACATGCCACTGCAGGTAGAAAACGATCGGAACGATCATTAGCATTACTTACTTTCACTATTGTAAAATAGAGTATAACCACAGTATACTTATACAGTAATCCCACGTCGGGTGATTTTTTGTTTGAATTTTTTACACGCAGACCCAGGAGTTGCAGTCTCAGGTCTGCGCAAACGACGAGTTCAAGACAGGTACGCAACCCTTCCATAGTTGTCGAATTTCATGAATTTCACCCAACCTACTGAAAACTTTGTTTTCTGAATAAAGTGCATTCAAAGCCTGAGGTGATTTCTTATTTAAGGAAAGTAGAAATAAACTATCGAAAGCTTGACGAANCCAACATGGTTTTCATCGACTGTATTTTTTTGAGCAGTTTATATGAATAGTTGTTATGTTGAGCAGTGTTTGGACGCTTTGGTTGAGATTGTAGTAGGGAGAAATGTCATTAGTGTCAAATACGTCAGCATTGTAAAAACTACAAAGGGACCGACGCGACGATAAGTGGGACTACTGTATATAAGGATATTGTGGTATAACAGTTGACAACAGCTTACGTATGAGACTCACTCCGATTGAAGTATAACTAGAAAACCGGACCATTCATACGTACAAACTCGTCGACAATGACCGCTTATTGTACTATTTCATTCAGAAATAGCTCAGTAAGTAACTTAATCTTTGATTGGACTTATTGCGAATTTGTGCTTTCGTGAGTCTGTGAAGGTGAATAGCATTTTCCATTGGTAAAATTCAAGTTTCTTTGATGAAACGAGTGTCACGTTCACATGTTTCATTGGAAAACCAGGTCAATGCGGTCCTGCGAATTCAGTGTCCTTCAAAGACAATGCACTCGTGGTTCAGCCTAGCACCACTGATGAGACCAGTGAAGGGTTGCTATATCAGGTATTGGATCATGTATTTTTTGTCTTCGGGCCCTGGTTTCGTCTAGTTGCCTTGCAATGTGATATAGAAGACGAATCTCATTCAGCAGTCGACGTCATAGTTTGTCTTCTGAAAAGACCGCCTTGGGGACCCTCGTTTGTTTTTAATATTTGTGGATTGAGCTTCTGTCGATTCAACAATGGCATATTTTCAAGGGGGATGGAATTGATATTATGCTCCAATATTCTTCCACATATCATATAATATCAATACCTGAGGATGATCTAACAATTCAAAAAGATAATTTCAGGTCATTTTCAGTCTAAAACTGAATGAATCATGTAGTATATATATATCTTGAAACAAATTGAATTACGCACTGGCATGTATGTATTTTGTGAAATATATAATTGTTACTCATACAGCACATTGGCATGTGCTCAAAACACACTTTAGCGTGAGATTTCCACAAAATTGTTTTACAAAAACGCAACACGTGTTTCGCCATATAATGGCTTCTTCAGACGTGTCTTTACTAACTAAATCTACATACTTTATATATATTCTTTACAATTTGAAGTACCTAAATTTCAAGCACCGGAGTTTTACTCAACCAATTGATGTTTACTGTGTAACTGATTTACTTATGATGCACTGTTTGGAACCTTTGGTGTAGTAATGAATATTACTGGAGTTTTTCCCAACACCAAATCGTTATTTTTAACTGCTCGACACGTGTTTCGATCACCAAGTGATCATCTTCAAAGAGGAAGATTAAACTAGAAACTAACGCGAAACTAACGCTATTTATGCTATATACTTGGAGTTTGAATTCAACAGTACGATCCTCCTCCAGCCATTTCCTTCCCCCATTCAATACATATCCTCCTTCCGTACCTTCCCTGACTCCCACTTGTAGGAGAGTTGTGTATTGTATTGTATACTAGCGATTCGTCCCGGCTCCGTACGGCTGCAATGTTGATACTAAATATACATAAACGGGTGCGATCGCTGCTAATAATGAATTGCTATAGGGCGAAGTACTGCCTTCGACTCGATATTTATAGGCACGCGCCGCCGGCCCTCCGACCAGTACCGTGCAACCGATATTTCCCTGCATTTTAAATTTGTAATATCTTCGAAAATAAATTAAATTACTCTAAAGGGCCATATTGATTTATATTAAATGCACAGTGTATTTAAGGTACTCACTTGGATAAGGATATTTATCAATTACCTTGAAAGACAGGTTCTGGTGCAGGTGTTTTCAGTCGCAAACCCAGGACAGAGATATCAACCTGCCTAGGAACCTATGCGGCTGTATTCCAAGCGGAAATTTACGCTATTGAATTGTGTAAAGAGAGATTGGAAGAATCCAACCTCATACACAAGTCAATAAAAATATTCTTGGGCAGTCAAGCGGCGTTGAAAGCTCTTGGCTACTACCGAGCACATCTAAATTGGTAGCAAATTGCCTCGATAGGAAGGCTCAACAGGTTGTCTCTGGTCTGAATTCCTGGCCATACTGGCCTGGAAGGCATTGATGATGCTGACTCTCCTGCAAAGGAGCTTCGTCTGACTAGAACCTGTCATTGATAACGCTTTAGGCTTTGCCAAACAAACAATGAACACCTGGATGGCAAGAAGATTCATGGACTTCTGGCAGAATCTGCTAGGATTGGCTCACTCCAAAGCGTTTATTCAACCCTTCGAAGCTTGATACCAAACAGTTGTTGGACTACAGTAGGGATGAACTACGATATCTAACAGGCCTAATCACAGGTCACTATCATTTAAATCATCATATGAACAGACTCGTACTGTCGGAAGACAGTGTGTGTCGCCTCTGTTCGGAAAATGATGAAACAGCAAAGCACATACTTTGTGCCTGCCCTGCTTGGGACCAAATCAGGTTTTTAGAGTTTGGCAATGCCGTACTCTTACCATCTGACCTAAAAGAAGAAGAGTAAAGAGTCGAATAGACCCACTTACTTTGGAATAAGAGATAGATATATACCATCGCGGTGTTTTTGTAGGCCTTTTTAAGGTGTACAATACTGTAGTACATTAATATCCTAATATCAATTTAGACGAATACAAAAAGTAACTAACTTATGAGGGGTTCAAAGCTGAAGTGGACCAAGTCCATAATAGCGATGTTTTTCGATAGACCCTGCATGATACTCTTCAAAGGTCATTATTTTCAGTGCAGTAATGAAGCAAGTCCTTACTAAGTTTTTTAAGCTATAGATGGAGCGGATGTATTTCTCCTGAGAATTATGTCGCATATCGTTCAGAGCATTAGTGAACCAAGTCCAAGTTACATTGTTCACGCTTTTTCTGTGTGAGAATATGAGTGTTATGGCGAATACCAATGAAGATGAAGGTAAGGTATTGACTTTTAATATCATATGACTTGATGAAATGAAACCAGAAAGTTGATACTATAAATCCTCAGCGTAAAATTCACGCAATTCTATGTAATTTTTGTAATCAGTCTTTGAGGTTATGTCGTGCATATTAACAGCATGAGTGAATTTCATGGACCTAATACCTCACAGTTTCAGATTCAGAAGATGATGTACCCCTGATTCAATTTTTACAACCCATCCAAAGACTACGTACAGCAGAAGTTCGAAATGACAAGTTATAATCACTAACGTTTTTTTTGGATGATTTTTTTATCAGTATTGTCTATTTCAGACGATGCAGTGGTTCGCGAAGTAGGAGAACGTGGTCGGAAAAGAGCTCGAAACGAAGCGAATTGGGACAGGAATAAAAGAAAAATTCTAAGAAATAGTGGCAAAACTTACGAAACGAAAACAAAAAAATGTGTTTCAGCTAAATGTTTCAATCCTGATTATAACTATGGATGCCGCAAGCAGTGCAGGACAAAAATCAATATTGGAGATTTGTCAACATTTTTCCAATAATTTTGGAAACTAGCAGATTACAGCAAACAGAACATTTTCTGGCGAGGTTTAGTGAAAATGTTCACAGTAAGAAGAAAGCGTCCAAGAGATGGTTCTGGAACAAACAAATCCTCATCGTTTGAATATACTATACGTTTGAAAGAAGCCAACATCAATGTGTGAAAAAAAATTTTTTTGGTACACTCCAAATTAGTTGGGGACGACTGTATAGATGTCTAGTTAAAGAAGAAGTTTTTGCAGTTATGGATAATCGTGGTAAAAATATTCTCACAAACAAAATAGATGATTCTGGTGTAATCATGCATATCGAATCTTTCCCTTCTTACCAAAGTCATTACAGCCGGAAAGATAATGAGCAGAGGAAATACCTTAATCCAGAATTGAATATTCGAAAGATGTATGACCTTTATGTTCAAGAATGCTCTAAAGCAAATAAACAACTTGTCAAAGAAAAATTCTACAACAAAGTGTTTTCCACGAAATTCAATCTCCACTTCAAAATTCCCAGCAAAGACACGTGCCGTTTGTGCGATGAGTTACACCTGAAGATTCGTAGTGAAACTGATGGAAAGAAGAAGAAGGAACTAGAAATACGAAAAAAATTGCATTTAGCTTGTTCTGATCAGGCCAGTGTTCCACAACTACTTTCAAAATCTACCATTGGAAACTGCGACCTGAAATTGCTGATGACGAATTGGTTTATGATGAATGATATAAAAAAGCATTGGTCCCGTTTCAATGAATTGAGTTTATTTCTTTTCATACTTGTTTCTTCTGTATTTATGAAACATTCAGCGGAAAAGTGAACCAAGTCCAACATGAGAGAAGAAAAAAAAATATAAAACTGAAACCATTAAGTTTCTTGTTCCGATGATGGCACTCATATTCAAGTTATGAATGGTCTAAGTGATCCTCAATCGAAAAAAAAATAGATGATATGGGAATTAATCGTTGGAAAACAACTTCAAATCTTCATATCTCAAATTCACCATAAATGGACTTAGTTCACTTCAGCTTTGAACCCCTCATATGCATGCAAGAAGTTTGCAATCTACAGGCGCTAATAATGAATTAATATTGATAAAGATCGCATGTTGAACATAGAGTCTCAGAAACTTATTATTTTTTCATTTGAAATTTTATCATCAGTTGCTGGTTAATATGACTAATGAGATCACTATGACTACTGGAACTTTACAAAAACATATTAAATTTCTTCTAAAGAGCTACTTCAGATAGAAACAAGAGTTTCGAAATAATTTTTTAATACTTTCCGATGATTTCCGTAAAGTTTGAAGCGAACTTCTGGTATTTCCCGTTTACGTACTACAAAAATCCCACCTGAAGCTCGTAGTGAGAGTTTATTTTTATATTTCTGAACCATCACACAACAATAATCGTTAGAAAGAAAAGTATAATTTCTAACACATAATTCATATTTTACGATAGTAATCAATTATTTTATATCGACAATATCTGATAGTCTTCAATAATTTTTGTATTCGTTTGATGATGTTCTTATGATCCATGTTATAGTTTCCATAAATATCATTCGAAACAATGTGTATAACAAAATAGTGTTTTCCCTGCATGAATCAAATCCCAACCGCAACGCATGAATGAAATCGTAGATGAAAGCGAAGGCGCCTTTTCTCGCATATAAAATAAACTACTTCTCGGTTATTACATTCATTCATTGTCCACTTATTCGTAAAAAAACACCCCAGAGCAGTAATTGAAACTATCACATTCAAAATGTATTTTTTCCGAAGTGTTCTACTCGCGACCCTTTTATGTTTCTTCGATAGTGCTTCTTCTTACCTTATTAGCAACCTGAATGAATATGACAAGCACGTGGATATGATAAAAAGGGAACATTTTACTTGCAATACACCCCAAAGGAGAGCCATTTCTGCAAGAGAAATTGTGCAATATGAAGACGAATTGCCTGAAAATGCAGTGGTAAGTGGTGCATCAAGTATTTTAAATGTTTCACCGTATTACGAGATTTTAGTTTTTCAAAAATTCACATTTGCCAGTAGGTAGCAGGAAAAAATAGTGAAATAGTTATTTTTGTATTAAGTGCGTAAAATGAGTGTTTTTTAATGGCACATGAGAGTGTTAATTCTTCACGAATTTTATACACGAAATACAAACATTTTTTGTACAAGTGTGAAGGTGAATTTACATCATCTGGAATATATTAATAATAAATAAATCCAATTCATTTTGACGTGGTTTTTTGTCCCGATAAGTTATCGCTTTTAAAAGAGTGTTGTCTTGAAAATAATATTTTATGTTTTCAGAAACTATTTCTGCCTGAAAAAAAAAAGTCCAAAATAACTAAATAACACTTCTCTTTTCCATACATTTTATCCTTAATGTAACCAATACTTCAAATAAAATTAAATCAAATCAAATCAAAATATACTTTATTGTAAATATAAAAAAGTTCTAAAAATGTATAGATAAAATACCACCATGTATAAAGTGATAGTACAAGGAATACATTGTTAATTTATGTTAAAAGGATTCGCTAAAATACTCTTCCAAACTATAATAGGGTCTATCAACAAGTAGGTTCTTCACCGCCTTTTTGATATGAATGTTGCTCAGATTTGCAGATCTCATTTATAATGATAATTGAACAACTCACCTCAATGATAGTATATGGAATCCTTGATTAAATTCGAATTTGGGATGGGAAGTCTAAAGGTATAATTGCTATTACGAGTAGAAGCAAAGTTGAACTTCGATTTATGTTTATAAATAAGACGATGACTATTAAAATTTTATTGGCAGGGAACAAGTTCCTGCACGATTCTCTGGGTTTTACTTTACAGAGACATTTGAGTGCCCTCTTCTGTAATATCATTACAGAAGAGAGAAGGGATGACTTGCATGCTCCCCAAAAAGGTATTCCATAACGTAGTAGAGATTCAATAAGTGCATGGTAAACGGTTTTTGCGATATGGAAACCCAACTCATTTGAAACCACTCTAACTGCATAACATATGGAAGAGATCTTACTCTTGAGTTGTTTAACGTTTTCATCAAATTTCAGCCTGTTAACAATGAATACATCAAGAAATTTTGTGTTTAATTTATTTTGTAATATGGCAGCGTCTATAGGAATTTCATCAGACGAACATTTGAATGATATTATGTTCGTTTTGGATGCATTGAAAGAGAGTACATTTGCATCGCACCAGCTCTTCACCTTCTTCAAGTCTAATTATATTATTTCATTTAGCTCCACTGGGTTTTTTTTCATTCCACAATATTGTAGTATCATCCGCGAATAGTGTGAAACTACCAGATATGGCAATCATAGAGATGTCATCCATATATAACAGAAATAGAATAGGGCGTAATACAATACAATTTCCCAGCATCCAGTGGTCTTTCTGTGTCATTACTATAGAAACAGTTTGTTAGCATGCCGCGTGTTTAACTGTTGACTGTTTGCTCGCAGTTGATTATAATAGTGGTAGTGATACTCCATTAGATGTATCTGAGGATTCAATTGCAATAGTATCTAATATGCTACCGGCCAAATACAAGTTATTATATGAGAAAACATATGACCAATTTCAACACCTTAAATCCATAAAACATCACGGTGGCTGAAAATCTGCTTTCGTAGCAGAAGCATATATTGAAGACAGAATAACAAAATGGAGATTCCAAACAAAATATTGAATTGTCCATCTTCTTCCAAACAAATTAAAATATCTGTTAAAACCGTGGAATTAACTCTACAAGAAATATCTTTAATAACGGCAACAACAGCAACAACATGGAACATCTTCGGGAATTTATGTTGAAATTTCACTATCAATTATCATTCCAATAAATGAAATTGTTTTATGATGAATAATCAATTAATAATCTGTTGAAAATAAATCCTTCAAAAATTAATATTTCATGTTTATTATGGCAGTGAAGAAAGTCTTTTTGTCACCGTGAAAATTGTTGCCCTCGACCTGCTACCTCGGCCATTAAAAAAACACTCATTTTACGCACTCAATAAAAAAACCATTAGTGGTTCATATTCGTCTACCATTATGCCTTTTTTTAACAACATCGACAGATATATTTGAGTTTGTGGTTCCGTGAAGTTGTACTTATTTCAAAACGTTTTCATACATTTCTGATATTGATTACAACCTTAATATTTAATTTTAACAAAAAGCTATAACGTATACTCAACTGTAATAGTCAAACATGCAGTCTTCGCAACAATTTTTTGGGTATGGCAAAAATCTACAAGTATATGGTGTATTATTCTATGTATCATTAATCTTTATAGTCAAATAATGATTTTTTAGTCAAATAATAGTCATTTGGGTCACTAATAATGTAGCTTCCCTTGGTGTCTGAATTCTCAAAATAGATTGAAAATTTTTTCAGTTCAATCATTATAAATCTAAAGAAATGAACTCTAAATGTTCAAGCCAGTCTCGGATATACCTACACAGTAGGTTGAATGGACTGACGCCTATCAGAAAACAACTACTCCACTGGCTAATACCACGAACGACGTTGGATTGTATCCGACAGGCGTCAGTGCAGGAATCTTCACAAAAAATTTCCTGCATATGCAACTGGCAATACAACTGAAAGAGTCGATTTTCAATTTTGGAACGAGCACTCTTGCAGACCGATTTCGGGCTCATTAGCCACTCGTCAGTTTAAGATAGTGGCCATCATCGACCTAAAATCAATGACATTCCATAATTGAAAATCGAAATTCTTTCAGAGTATTTCATTCCTCGTCCTAAGTTGGAGCCAACAACAAAATGTCACTCCATCTAGTGGACGAGGTACTAGCCAACTGC